GGTGGTTTTTTCTTTCTAGTTTCCATTTTTTCTATTTTTTTCTTTTAATAATGAGGGAAAACTTTTTAAATTTTTTTTTTATTTTTCAATTACAGATGACATACAATATTATATTAGTTTCAGGTGTCCACCTCAGTGATTAGACATTATAAAACTTATTAAGCGATCATCCCCCAAAATCTCATACCATCTGACACCATAAATAGTTATTAGAATATTATTGTCTCTATTCCCTATGTTCCCTATTTACACCCCCAGGTGTAACTACTAATTTGTACTTCTAAATCCCTTCACCTTTTTTGCCCATCCCCTAACCCCCTTCCCATTTGGCAACTGTCAAAATGTTCTCTGTATCTATGAGTCTGTTTCTGTTCTGCTTGTTCATTTATTTTGATTTTTAGATTCAATTGTTGATAGATATGTATTTATTTCCATTTTGTTGTTCATATTTTTGATATTTTTTTCCTTCTTCTTAAAGAAGACCCTTTAACATTTCATGTAATACTGGTTGTTGGTGATGAATTTCCTTTACATTTTTGTTGTCTGGGAAGCTCTTTATCTGACCTTCAGTTCTAAATGATGGCTTTGCTGGGTAGAGTAATCTTGGTTGTAGGTCCTTGCTTTTCATCACTTTGAATATTTCTTGCCACTCCCTTCTGGCCTGCAAAGTTTCTGTTGAGAAATCAGCTGACAGTCGTATGGGTGCTCCCCTGTAGGTAACTAACTTCTTTTCTCTTGCTGCTTTTAAGATTCTCTCTTTAACTTTAACCTTTGGCATTTTAATTATGATGTGTCTTGCTGTGGGCCTCTTTGGGTTCCTCTTGTTTGGGACTCTCTGTGCTTCCTGGACTTGTATGTCTCTTTCTTTCACCAGGTAAGAGAAGTTTTCTGTCATTATTTTAAAAAATAAGTTTTCAGTTTCTTGCTGTCTCTCTTATCCTTCTAGCACCCCCATGATGTGAATGTTGGTACACTTGAAGTTGTCCCAGAGGCTCTATATATTATCTTCATATTTTTGGATTCGTTTTCTTTTTGCTCTTCTGGTTGGGTGTTTTTTCTTCCTTATATTCCAAATCATTAATTTGATTCTCAGCGTCTTCTACTGTACTGTTGATTCCTTATAAATTATTCTTCATTTCAGTTAGTGAATCTATCATTTCTGACTGGTCCTTTTTTGTGTTGCTGTTATTCTCACTAATTTCCTTGAAATTCTCATTAAATTCCTTGATCGTCCTTATAACCATTGTTTTGAACTCTGTATCTAGTAGTTTGTTTGCTTCCCTTTCATTTAGTTCTTTTTCTGGAGATTTCCCCTCTTCTTTCATTTGTGACATGTTTCTTTGTCTCCACATTTTGGCTGCTTCCCTGTGTTTGTTTCTATGTATTAGGTAGAGCTGCTATGTCTCTACCAAGGTGACTTGGTAGAGTGGCCTTGGGTAATAGGTGTCCTGTAGGGCCCATTGGCTCAGCCTCCCCAATCACCTGAGCTGGGCATTCCAGGTGCATGCCTGTGTGAGCTGTGTGTACTGTCCTATTGTAGTTGAGCCTTCATTGATGTTGGCTTTACTGGGAGGGATTGACCCCCAGGCCAACTGGTTGTGTGGATCAGCTGTGTCTACAGTGGGAGAACTGCTGTGCAGAAGCAGACCCTATGGAGCAGAACTTGTTTCAGAGAGGCTTTGGTGCTAACCAAGTCTTCCCCTTGAGTGTGTTACTCATGAAGGTGGTAGTGTTGTATTCCTGGGTGGTCTGAAGCTGACCACTGGGTGCACTGCCTGTGGGGCATCCCGGAAGGTGCAAAGTCAGCCACTGCCCCTGCCCTGCCTGAGGCCACCTGGCACAAGCTACAGAGTGATCTGAGATGGCTGCTACTTGTGTTGGTCTTGGAGGTGCCCAGTAGAGCCAAGCTGTGAACCAAGGCTTGCTGCTGCTAGTTCCAGGCCTGGAGCCACTTATTGAACCAAGGAGGGCTACCACTAGTGCAGGGCCTGGGGCCTCTCCACTTGGAGAGGTACAGTGCATGCTGAGGCCAGATGCTATTTGTTTGAGAGAAATTCCAAAGCATGATGCAAGAGAGGCCAGTTGTATGGAAAAGCCACGGGAAATGGCTTGAATGAGCCTGCAAGTAGGGAGGGGCAGGGTCTCAGGGAGTCACCAGGATGGGGCAAAAAGTATGAGCCCAGTTGATGGAAATTCAGCTAGGGCACCTGCCTGTTGGCTCTGTGGCAGGGAGGGCTCAGCAAAGGAACAATGGCCTCTGCTAGCCCTTCTGTCTGCGAGAAAGCTTTCCTATCAGCTTTCATCCTGATTCCAGACAAGTTAGTTCCTCCCCAAATGTCTCTAGCTCCTTTTAAGCTGCTTCCCCAGTGCTGGAGCTCATAGGGAGTGAGTCCAAGTAAGTCCATTTGGTGGCCCTCTAAGAGGAATGCCTGGGACTCCAGCAGCCTCTGTGTCACTCAGCTACAATCCCTGCTGGTTTTTATAGCCTGAGGATATGGAGACTTTTCTTCCTGGCACTAGAACCCTGGGCTGGGTGGCCTAGTGTGGGGCTGGAACCCCTCGCTCATCTGGGAAACCTCCACAACCAAGATATCCCTCCCAATTTTAAACCACCATACGTGGGTGTGGGACCAGCCTGTTCTGAGATTCTGCCCCATGTCTCCGCCCCTCCTACCGGTCTCAATGTGGTTTCTTTAATTCCCTAGTTGTAGGACTTTCATTTAGCCAGATTTCAGGTGTTCTGAATGATGGTTGTTCTGTAGTTTAGTTATAATTTTGATATGGTTGTGGGAGGAGGCAAGCACCGCATTTACCTATACCAACCATCTTGACCAGAACCCCGAGGGAAAACTTTTAACTTTAAATAAACTACTTAAAAAAAACTTTAAAAGTTTCTTCTAGGCCATCCTAGTGAAAACTAGGCCATCCTAGTGAAAACTATTGGAAAATTGCTCTGATTATAGTTTAAATATTTTCTTCTTTAGATTCATTAATTCTGTCAACCAATGGTCCTTGGCTCCAATTCAACCCCAACAGGAATCCCCAAATTGGCGTGCAGTGAAGGAGGAAACTTTATTCAGTTCAAACAGCTCAATTGCGATACAGCACTGCTGTTAGAACAGCACAGCTTTGGAGCAGCTAAATAGTATTACACTCAATTATGAAGCAGCACAGCTGTGGAACAACATGCCTGTGAGGCAACCATGGGGCAAGGTGGCCCTGGGCTGAGGCCCTCTCCAGCTAGACAGCTCTGCTCTGCTCTGCCTGCTCTGTTCCACTAAGCTTTATGCTGGTCTGCTCCATTCTGCCCTGCACAGGTCTGCTCCTCTCTGCTCTGGTGTGATGTCTTTGGCGTTTCAGCTCCAGCTGGGGAAATGAAGGCTTCAGCCTTTGGTGGACAGGAAAAGTGTGCTCTGAGCCAGAGGGAAGCCAACATATAGACAGAGGACCTGGTCCCTGGTCTCTTATTGGTCTGTCCTCATGCAAATGAAGAACTCTAAATCCTTGCAGTTTGATTGATCTAAAAGGCACTGTTCTGATTGATAATGGAGCCACTTTGGTCAGTAAAGATGATGATGGGAATAGAGCTGTGCAGCTCTTATTGGATGGGGCTGAAATATAATTCCGGAAACTCTTTTATAAGGGCTGGCTCACATGTCAGTGTAAGCAAGCAGCTCAGTGCAGGGTTCTACCTGAAGTACGGTTTGCATGAAAGGCCTGTTTAGAAACAGCTTCTAGGCTTTGCTTTTAAATTTGAGCCTGATTAGCCACGAGGAGCTCCTATCAGTTGTTTTCTTTCCCAGTGTCCACAATTCCAATAACCAAAAAATCTAATTTACTGCATTTGAGGAGTCAGTGGTTTTCAGCTGTTTTACCACTTTACCTGTCAAATGTCTTAATGGACAATATCCTCTTTCTGTAGTCACTTGAAGCATTTTACATGTACTTGAAAGTTATTAATCTTAACTAGTAGTTTCTGTCCACTTAATAACTGTGACTGACTCCCCCCACCCCTTACCATCAAATTCAAGGACTATGTGGGTGTGTGGCAATCAGAGATGAGCTAGGTTCTACTAATAGATGTAGAAAGAAACCCAAAACTAAAGAATGACTTCCCCCATTTACACTTGTTTTAATAATTTCATTACCCTGAATGTATTGCTTAACTCTACTCAACTTCATTGTTGACAGTATTACAGATGTCCGTTTTCCCCCTTGTCTCCCTCCACCCAGCCCCACCCCACCCCACTGTGTCTATGGGTTACGCATATATGTGTATTTTCTTTGATTAATCTCTTCTTGTCCTATCCCTCTCCTCCCCACTGAGATCTGTCAGTCTGTTTCATGCATCCACACTTCTGGACCAATTTTGTTCGTCAGTTTATTTTGTTCATTAGATTCCACATATGTCATATCATGTGACATTTGTCTTTAACTGGCTTATTTCACTTAGCATAATAAGAATCCTGAAACACCAATCAGAAAGAATATATGCACCCTTATGTTCATAGCAGCATTATTTACAGTAGCTAAGATCTGGAAACAGCCCAAGTGCCCATCAGTAGCTGAGTGGATAAAAACCTGTGGTAATTTATACAATGGAGTACTATGCAGCTATATGAAAAGGAAATCTTACCCTTTAGGACAGCATGAATGGACCTGGAGATTATTATGCTAAGCAAAATAGCCAACCTTCTAATCCAAACTATACAATTTAAAAAGTCTGATTTCTGGAAGAATGCTAAGAATATGCTTTTATAACAAGGAATGTAATCCTTTCACAGGGAATAGGTTTTTATAAACAGAGGCAATGTTTTTTGTGTGGTTTTATTATTTTTATTTGTATTAAATTCATTAGGGTGACATTGGTTAATAAGATTATATAGATTTCAAGTAGAATATCATACTAAGTGATATAAGTGAGAAAGAAAAAGTTAAGAACCATATGACTTCACTCATATGTTGGATATAAAACTAAAAGCAACAAATGAACAAACAAGAAAAGAACCAAAAATTCAGACAGACAACAGTATGACAGTAATTTTTTCAAAGACAGAGTCAATAGCTCAGTTTTACATTTTGTATCTAAAACTGTACTCTAAGTAGAAATATGGGGCTTAGCTTTCTCAGTAGAAAACAACCAATAAGTACATTTTTCTAAAAGTGACTTTAATCAAAGGCACAAACCAAAACTAAGATTATTAAAGTTGACCACAATATTGATAATTAAGCCATATCTATCTGGTAAGGAAATATCAGCTAGAGCTAATTTCTCAGGAAAACACAATAATTCCAACACCATTAATTAGAACCTTTCAAGTGATGGAGGAAATATAAACATCAGTATAAACACCTTAACTTGGGAGGCAACAACATGTAAAGTAAAAGTCTGCTGCAATCTGATGTGTCACAGAACGTGGTAGTGCCCTTTAGTCTTTGGTGCCTTAGGTCAGCGACCATTACCACCATCTAGCAACTCTGATGGGTGCCATCCAACTCCTGGCTGGGATTAAAGTTCACAATGTAATCTCTGCCTGTCAGCAGAACAAAGAGACTAATCTAAACATTTTAACTTTTTGATGCAAATGATGCAATCAAACCACATAACCTTGGCTGGGAAGGGGCAGGTTCAAAGGGGTCAATTTCCCATTTTATAACAGTACATCAAAACAGAAAATCCACAGGGCCTTTCAAAAGTCCTACATTGAGAAAAGCAATAATCAAGAGGAACACACATTGTTTCATTTACAATTTACTAGCTCTTCCAGTGTTTCAGGGTGATAAGGAAGTTTCAATGATCTTACATGATGAATGGGACAAATGGTGGACTTGTAACATATTAAACAAATGTCTAGATTGAATCAGACTATCGGTGTAGTTTTTCGGTCAATGGGTAACATGAGGCAGTTTTCCAACCAGGCGATCTAGTAGTTCACAGGAGCTAATGTAAATGTCCTAAAATGAAAGAAAAAAAGTTAATTTACATGTAACCCAAATTTCAATAACTGTATTCACTTGCACACATTCTAATCTGTCCTTCTAATGACGACCTTCATGTGTTCCCACTATGCCCTAACCACTTTTCTAAGTGCCAGAGTAACAGCACTAAAGCACCTCCTCTGCCATTATGTAGTATATGGTCTTATTTTATACCATATACACCCCTATTTTTGATAGTTCTTTAATAAACTATTATATTTTTTCCAAGAAAAAAATGTGAAGGGTGCCCCAGGGATTAATTCAGCTAGCAACGGTCCTCATATTTTACCATTCAAATACTGAAGTCATTGAAACACACATTTCCCTGAAATCTAGTTCCTGGTTAGGGTAGATGAGTTTATGGCTCTAATAATAGTCCAACAGAGGACCGTGATAATAACTATGTCAAAGACTAAGGGAAATGCCACTATCGGTCAAGAGCAGAGTATACTTGCCAGGGATTCTCACTTTTCTTCACTGTAGGTTCAAATTTGTTAGAAAGAGGACCACCACTCAGGATCTTTAGGCTGGGTATGTGTAGGTAAACCTGAAGAGGCTCTACTGTCCTTTTTGGCCATGCCTTGTCTTTAGAGACCTGAGCTGCCTATGTGGGGCTAACACAGCACCAGTAAGACTTCAAGGCATTCCTGGACAATACCTTTCCGGCAAACTTACTCCATCCATCACGTGCACAGGCTGAACGAAGCGAACACCAAGACTGACATAGCTGAGGACCAAAATGAACGTACCTTAAAGTTGGAGAGGAGTAAGCCGTGTAACGTTGGTTACACTATCTCATACTGGTTGTTTGTTATAGCTCGAGAGAGACAGTAGGCGAAAAAGATTCCAATCAGCTGGAAATGAAATATGCGCAAAATTAAACACACACACCAAAGGGCTTAAAGACCTCAGGGTGGCCCGGCCAGCGTGGCTCAGCGGTTGAGCATCGACCTAGGATCCAGGAGGTCACAGTTCGATTCCCGGTCAGGGCACAGGCCCGGGTTGCGGGCTCGATCCCCAGCGGGGGGCGTGCGGGAGGCAGCCGATCAATGACTCTCATCATTGATGTTTCTCTCTTTCTCTCCCTCTCCCTTCCTCCCTCTGAAGTCAATAGGGACATATTTTTTTAAAAAAAAGACCTCAGGGTGTAGGTATAGTTTTCTTCACTTCTAATTCACTAATAATTTCCTTCCTTAAGTTTTCCTAGACAGTTATGTTTACTACCCTGCGGCACCTAGATCACATTCAAAGAATATAAGTGAAGCTTCGCCACTACTGTCACCTGGAATTTCCCAACTGTCACTGACAAAAATCACTCAAGAAAAATTATAAATGTTATAATTTGGGGGAAACTTTTCTTACTCTTCCTCTCAGTTATCAGAACAAAACAGGTATGTCCTAGAATAAGCACCTCATCCATTAAAATCTCCATCTGTGAGTACAGAGATTTTCCTGGAGGGTCTAGAACAGTGTTGCAATGCTGCGTAATACCAACAGCTCTCCTGTCAGTTACCACTGACAACCGGTGTCTTTTCAACACTTCAAACAGGGCTAGAGTAACTGAGGAAACAAATTTTAAATTTTATTTAAGAATTAGAACCTTTCCAAGGTGCCTCGTGGCTATTTGATTAGACAGTACAGATTCACGCATAGCTATGCCTGCTACTTTAGAAATATATTAAGATTAGACTTCATCAATTACATAAGTCAAAATGCTTTTAGTCTTATTTCCATAATGTTTAATAGAAAAACTCCATCCCCTAAAGAACTGTCTAGAGTCACAATACAGACTTTTCATGCTACAGTGAGACACAGCAAAACTCCAGCAATACAACTTGATTCCACGACACAGCATCCACCCAAAATAATAGGCACATATTGAACGTGGGGTTGTATGATCTGATTTAATAGGCTAGGGCTTAATGCAACTTATCAGGCACTTGCAGCTAAGGAAAAAAAGATTCTAATGTTTTAGAATCTTTTTTTATTATTTATTTATTTTTTAATATATCTTTATTGATTTCAGAGAGAGGAAAGGAGAGGGAGAGAGAGAGAGAGAAACATCAATGATGAGAGAGTCACTGATCAAGCCCACAACCCGGGCCTGTGCCCTGGCTGGGAATCGAACCCCGATCGCCTGGAGCCTAGGTCAACGCTCAACAGCTGAGCCACGCCCAGCCGGGCTGTTTTAGAATCTTGATGACTGCAGAGCAAAGCAAGGTTCAGGTCTATCTAGTGTTTTGTTTACTGAACTGTGATGCTGGAAAACTGCCATAACTAAGAGGGCACCAGGTCTTTCCGCAGTTAACTGCTTTCAAAAGATATCTACTGCTAGAAGTTAACTTTAAGCCTTGCTTTGTATAGTTTCAAGGCACGACTGGCGATGGTAAAAAGAACAGGTAAAATAGTAATAAAAACTTAAGAGAACTCTGTAGTTGTGGAAAATAGTGTAGAAAAACATAAGAGCTAAGACATAAAAAATTGGAATGAAAACAGCAAAATATTCCCTTCCAAATAAGATAAATAAAGATCTAAGCACAAATGATTTACTACGTATGCTTCATATACAAAATAAAAATATTTCTATACTGTGATGAGCAACTGAGTGTTTGTGAAAATGTAACTGCTGTGAAAATACTCACACTGTCCAGGCCCCTGAAGCAAAAACGTGAAGCCTTCAAAGTGGAAATCTTCTAGCTGACACCTACAAGGGTCATGAACCATTTCCTAGCTACATGGACTTACCTGGAAGCAAGCAACTCCGAAGGAAATTCCAGCAACAACTCCCATTTCTGATTCTATCACGGTCATCACCTTTATAAAACAACCCTAATGGGAGAGGAAAAAAACCCATTAAGTACAGCACAAGCAATAATATTCTGATCACACATCTCAGCAGAAAGATGAGCTTTGGCTACCCTAGTCTTTGCCTTTTTGTTAAAACTCACTCTTTCATGTAATAAAAACATTTTAAAAAGTGTTTCTTGTTAGTTGTATGAACTCAAGTCACAGATTTTCCGAGTTTCAGTTTCCTCATTTATTCAATGAGGGTAAGACCTGCCCTATTTCAGATAATGTATATTGTGAATAAAAATTTAAAAGTGAGTCAACTCTGTATTCAGTGAATGTCTTTTAAAAAAATTAAAAGGGCTCCTTACTTCATTGTTTACTTCATTGTCATCCGTCGTCGGAGAACAATCTTCAACTTTACAGCAGCTCTTGGGAAATCCTTTTTCTAAGTAATAATTAGTATCCTTCCAGTCTCTAAAGTCGGTGGTACCACAACAATGTAACTGAAAAATCCCAACAAAAACATTGTTACTTCACAATTACAACTTTGTAGTCAAACACTTAACCTATCATCTTAGATTACAATTTGTGTTCAAAACATTATATGTAATGATATTTTTGTGTGGCTGTCCTCAATCGGTATCATAATTCAAAAGATGAGCACTTGTTTCAAACAACAAATGTTTCTAACATTTTTGGACTGGCGTTATTTTCCTGTTGGCGCCAACAGGACTTGGGCCCCGGTGGCAGTGGGGACTGAGTGCTGCACGTGTGAGGACAATGACAGGAGGAAATGGAGCTATGGCCCTTAGTATCATCGCACTCTTCTTTTCAGGGACATAGCTCCATTCTCTCCTAACCTAAGATGATAACGAGAGTATAAGTGGAAAACACCTAGTAGCCAGGGCCCTGTCCTCTCACGGGACAGGGAGTGTGTTCCCCTCTTGAGAAGCCACCACCTATGACCACTTACCGTAGTTTGGATCTTGTCTACTGCATCGCTTCTATAATCTCCTGTATCATTATACTGCTCTACAGCTTTCTTATAATTATTCTTAAAGCTGTCTTTAATCTACAAAAAAGAAACACAAAGCCAATAAACAAAGATTCTAGAAAGTTCTTTTGATTTCTAGATCAAATAAGAAATCCCTACATCTGACCAGTGGTCATCTCTTTGACAGCAGCAATACGCACGGTAATTAACTTCTATGGTCCAATCCTGCCCTCCAAGGGATATAGCTTGGCTGAGGGGACTACTAAGCAAAACATTACAATAAAAGATGACAACCACAAGTTCACAGTACTATGGGAACAGGTATTTTTTAAGTGGCAGCTCTGTACCGTTGTATTGCACCCACCTCGATCTTGATCCACTTTAAACAGTACAAATTTGATGTCTATGGAATTGCTAAGCTACAGAAGCTTACTTTGAGAGACTGCACTACCACTCCGTAAAAAACACTCTCAATGATGAGCCTTGACTACTCAATCATTTCCTAACCCCAGGCTTAAAAGAGTGGAACACCGATTTCTAATTCAATATTAAGGTTTTCATGATTTGCATTAAGTATATCCAATCGTTTCTAACTGTGTAGCATAAGTGGCGAAGGTATCAATTTTGTGCTTTAGTTTCCTATCAAAGTTATAAATTGTGCCACCTCCACTTTAATAGGTACTTATACGCAGAAAAATTACTAGAAATACATGTAATTATGGGTACCTTTAATTTTGTTCTGGTGATTTTTAGTGTTTACAATTTTCTAAATTTTCTTTTATATTAAAAGTGGGCTAGAATTTTTACAAGAAAGCCATTATTGTTAGCTACAGGTTGCAAAAAAAATAAAGCTTTAAACACAGCTGTAAGTGATTTTTAAACTAGTAAAAGTTGTGTTTAGCTCTGTGACTTAAATTAATCCATTTTTCTCTCAAACTCAGGCTTACCTCATGTCTGAAAACAAATCCTACGATGGCAGCAACCAATTCAACCAAAAATATGAGAGTCAGAAACATTGCATACTGCAGGATAAAAAGAAAAGTCCAAGTCAGCATAAATAAGACACATTACAGATGCAAAGGGAGTCAAAGGAAAACAATGGCTTGTTCAATCAGCGTGTTTTTTATTGAGAAGGACAGGAAAAGCACAACAAAAGTGGTAACTGGCAGCTCAACTTGGTAAGTTTTCGTAAAGAACAAGAAAAATATTAAAAGGCCACGGCCAGTTCCAAGAAACAAAGCCTACAAACATACGTAAGACTTTTCAGAAACCAAGGATCACTTCTAAGGAAAAGAAAGACTCACCAGTTTTAGCATCCACGCAGAAGCTCGGCAGGTAGCAAAACAACCAAAGGTGCCCAAAAGAATGATGACAGTGCCGGTGCCAATGAGCACGAAGGGAACATTGGTGGCCTTCTCATTTAAAAGGGAGAAATAATTCTCCAGGCTCACCTTGCCCCAAATGCCAACGGCAAGAAGGATAACACCAGTGATCTATGTGGGAAATAAGAATAGAAAAGTTAGGCACTGTATACTCAAAGCGATGCAGGTATATTCAAACCACAAACCGCTAGGTATTTAAGAAACAATAGGTGCGACAATTGATTTAGGAGCCTGTGGCTAGGATGTGGCAGACAAGATGGGTGGGGGGCACACGTAGAGGCGGGTAGGAAGGCGATCTGCACACAAGGACAGGCCTCGACAAATCCCCGAGCTGCATCATTCAGTAGCCCAGGTAGCCAGCGGGCCCCTAGAGAAGACGTCTTAACAAAATCCTTAAACTTCATCTGTCTTTTCGTGTAAACACAAGCCCGGGGTACATTTGCCCCAGGGATCAAAACTTGAACTGTTTTACTCCCGCCTTAGGAAAACCTTCTTGGGGGAGGGGGCGGGCGTTCTCACGACTTCCAGAAACTTCCCCCTTCCCCCAAGTTCAGAGCAGAGCACAAAGGGCTGGTACACAAAAGCAAGCCCGGGGACAGCTTGGCGGGAGCGGGGCCGTCGCCGTACTCACCTGTGAAACACTCCCCTCTACCGAAGCAGGGAAAAGAAAGAGACTTATTATGCAAGCGAGCCGCCCGAGGGCTCGGCCCA